TTTTTTTTTTTTTTCTTCATTCCGGAACGTTTTTTCTCCCTTCCCACCATGTTTTCCTCCGGACTCTTTTGAATGATGAGCACTTCCGGAATCTCCGGGCAGGTTGGCGTGGTCGGCCTGCGAAAGCCGGCTCCTTGACTCGCGTGCGCGGGCCTGGTTTGCTTGTGGTCTCGCGCGCCTTCGTTTCCCAGCCTCATGGCGGGGCTGACCCTGTTTGTAGGCCGCCTGCCGCCCTCGGCCCGCAGTGAGCAGCTGGAGGAGCTGTTCAGTCAAGTGGGGCCGGTGAAGCAGTGCTTCGTGGTGACTGAGAAAGGTAAGGGGGCGGGGCTGCTGAGGCTAGGGCTGGGGTTCCTGGGAGCGGGATCCCGGCGAGGACATCAGCGAGCCGTAGAATTCTTGACCCGCCCCAATGAGAAGGGAAGGGGGGATTGAGCTTCTTTTTTAAACTGACTCGGCTCTGGAAGAGTCCGTAGAGGACGGATTCTGAAAGTCAAGGCATTGCCTTAGGTTTACAAAGCGCTTTCCGTTTAGTGTGCGCGCTCACACATGCTGTCTCATTTGGTAACAATGTAATAGTTAACTTTTAATGAACCTTGTTGAGAGTCAACTGAGTGCCAGGCACGGTGCTGAATTCCACTCATGTTAATCTCGTTTAATTTTCTCAACAGTCTTGGGTGGACAGTCTTAACCTCATTTTACAGACAGGAGTCTGGGGCTTGGGGAAATTTGGTAACTTTAGTTTAAGTTCATACAGCTTGTAAGTAATGGATCCAGAATTTGATCATGAGACCCGAAGCTCCTAACTAGTATGTTATTCATTTACTCATTTATTCAGTAAATATTTTTCGAATGTCTGCTGTGTACTGGGCACTGTTGTAGGTCATTAGGATACAGCAGTGCCCCTAACCAAGCCAAAAAACTTGCTCTTAAGTCTTCAAGATGGAGAAGACAGCCAATAAACAAATAGGCAAAACGTATAGTGATACAGGCGCCTGGGTGGCTCAGTCGGTTAAGCATCTGACTTTGGTTCAGGTCATGATCTCACTGTTCCAGGGTTCGAGCCCCGAGTTGGGCTCTGTGCTTGGCAGCTCAGAGCTTGGAGCCTGCTTTGGATTCTGTCTCCCTCTCTCTCTCTGCCTCTGCTTGTGCTGTCTCTCTCAAAAATAAATAAACATTAAAAAAAAAAAAAATATATATATATATATATATATATATAGTGATAATGGTGGTAAATACGAAGGAGAAAAATAAGGATAAGGAGTCTCTGTGTTGGTGAGCGTGGGGGGGGAGGGAGGGTTGGGCGGTGAGAAATGACAGTTATCTATAGAGTAGCCAGGGAAGGCCTGCCTGAGATGAAGGAGTGAACGTGTGTCTGTCCGGGAGGAGGAGTCTAGGCAGAGGAAACACTAAGCTCAAGGATACTAAAGAGGACTACTCCTGGTATATTGAAGAAATAGCAGCAAGAACAGGATGACAGAATAAGTGAGTGAAGGTAAGAGAATTAGGAGATGAGATTCTAGGGTACCAGATCATGTAGGACCTATTGCAAAGATTTTGGAGGACTTTGGCTTTTACTCTGATACCAGAAACTACTAGTTTTGGATAGGGAGCAGTAAGTATGATCTGGCTTACATTTTGAAAGATCCTCTGAGGCCGCCCTTGGAGAAAAGGACAAAAGCAGGGAGACCAGACATTAGCCTCTTGCAATCCAGGTAAGAAATACGCTGTGTTGGACCAGGATGGTAGCAGTGGAGGTGGTAAAAAGTGATTGGAATACGGATATTTTCAAAGGTAGAACCGAGAGGATTTGCTGATGGGTGAGATGTGGGGTATGAGAAAAAGAGGAGTTAAGTCTGACTCCCAAGATTTTTGGCTTGAGCCACTGGGGATATTTGCTTATTTGTGGAATACTGCTACATGGCTTATACTCTGGGTGCTGCTCATCGCGTCACTAGGAGAAAGGGTTGGCATGTATTGGAAGGAGGAAGAATTGTGAGGGTTTTAATTGTAGAAGCATTCCTTCTTCTTAACCTAGACTTCAGGGGACACTTGATAGGCACCTGATGTTAAATTTCACTCCCTTCTAAGTCATCAGTCTGTCTCTGTAAGTGGCTGCTTCTTTGCCTTGCAGCAGAACAACGGGTGGAAACTGGCATTCTGAGGATCCCTGTTTCCCCCCGTGGTATCTGAGTATGTGAGTAGACAGGCTAACTTGTGTGCTAATAATCCTCCATCATTAACTTCTATTTTGTTAGTAACAGAGGTAAGAGTTAGGATTGTCGACATGGCTCTGATTGCTCTACAGGCTATGACACCTGCCTGGTTCTTTGTCATTTTAAGGATAGATATGGGTGAGTGAGAGATGAGAGGGCTCCACAGCAATGTTTCTTCAACTGCAGATCATTCCTCATTAGTGGGTCTTGAGTGGGTCAATAATTTTTTTAAATAGAGTGTATCTATCTATACGTGGTAAAGGGTTAGTATTCATAAAACTTTTTTGTTTTTGTTTTTAGGATTTTATTTTTAAGTAATCTCTACACCCAGTGTGGGGCTCGAACTTAACAACCCCAAGATCAAGAGTCACACGCTCCACCAGCTGACCTAGCCAGGCATCCCTTTGGTTTTATATAAAAAAGGCATACGTGTACTGGGTTCTACTATAAGTTACATTCATTACTGTGGTTGTCAAACTGTCCAGTGCTTGGTGGTTCTGTCCCAGGGAAGAACAGGCCATTGAATGGGAATTCTCTTTTGTGTCCTCAGAATTTAGACAGAGTATAACCTTACCTTGTATTCTGTGTATGTGGTCTAAATCTTGTATTTCTAAAGAAATACAAAGCTTTATTCCCTGTTTAAAATAGTATGTATTTTTCTGTCCAGATAGGCAAGATGTGTTGGAAAGAGTGTTGTACTTAATGGGATGGGAACACGGAGTGGGGGTTGGGGGTGGGTGGGATGAGGTCTTAGTAGAGGTGACTTCACCTCTTTAAGATGGGAATAATTTTACAGGATGGTTGTAAAATATGATGCTTTGTGCAAATATGTTGTGAGCACATACTTTTATTTTGGTACTGAACTGCTTTACATTTCAGCTGCTTTGTCTTTGATCAGGAAGAGCCCTGATTTTTCTTGTTCTAATTTTCTGACTTTGAGTGGGCAGGCTTTTGTGAGAAGGAGTCCCAAGAAAAAAGACACCAATCTCCAAATCACAGTATGCTTTCCTAATGCAGTGTCAGCTTTAACCAGTATATGTGGATCAACATCCTGTGTTTGAGGGCTTCTACCTTGAAGTAGGTTCGAGTGTAGTTCAAAAAGAAGCAGAGCATGTATTTCTTCTTTGGGTCATAGGCGGACTACTTGGTCTGTCTTTTTCCTTTTTGATGCAGTAAATGACTTAACATTTTAGTACATAAAAATGTTATCAAGAAAAAGCAAACCAGAAAGGGCAAAGGTGGGTTACAGTTTTTATTTGCAACTATTCATCTGGTTGGTCCTAATATTCTTCTCTGTGGCCTTTATATTGGTGGAGTCCCATGGAAAGAACATGGGGCTAGTCATGAGGAATTCATTCAGCTACTAACACTCTGGTGCGTTAGCCAGTTCACTTACTTTCCTCCATCTTAAGTTATTTATTTGGAAAGAAGGGATGATAGTATTCACTTTACCTACCTTAGTGTGGTTCTGAAGATAAAAGTGAGTTAAGAGATTTACAGCTAGTTTGAAAAAGGTTAGATTTGATATTGATTGCTAAGGCTTGGTAATAATGGTAATAGTATCTGCAGGCTCCCAGAGCAATGCTTATTGTTTATTGAGGTTCTTTTGTCAGGGCCTCAGGCATTAATTTCTGATCTGCATAATTATATTGTAGTTTTCAAAGCTGCCATACTTCCCTTTCCCACCTTCTCTGGTGATGTTCCATTCTATTTGAGGTTGAGTTCTTCACTGGGGATGTAATAGATATCATGGGCCCTCCATATTCTCAAGATGATCAGAAAAGGAAGAAGAAGAGAGGCTAACAGTGAAGGCACCAAATTAGAAGAGGAAGCCTGACAATTTCTGAGCAAAGTGGGGAAGGGGCCATGGATACCAATCTCATTTTTGCCCCTCCTGAGAATTTTGGCAAACTAATAAATGGGATGGCCTGACAGTATCTGCTAGTTTAGGGCATTGCCAATTTAATGGTTTAGGGCTCTTGGCTTACAGTTCTGTCCCTTTCCCCTACTGTTCAGGAAGTAAGGCATGTCGAGGCTTTGGCTATGTCACTTTTTCTATGCTGGAAGATGTTCAGAGGGCCCTCAAGGAGATTACCACCTTTGAAGGCTGTAAGATCAATGTGACTGTTGCCAAGAAGAAACTGAGGAGGAAGTCCAAGGGAAAGGGGGAAAATGGTGAGTTTCTAGTAACTTAAAGGAATTTTCCCTTAGGGTGAGGAAGAAGAGGTGGGTGGTTGGGGGGATAGCTTCTGCTTTGAAAGCTTCCTAAATTTCCCTTTGATGTCCAAAATCATCTAATGTATTTTATTACTCATTTTTGTCTTTTATTTAACTCTAACTTTGGAAATCTGGTGGTCCTGGGTGTTGCCATACTTAGTCCTGTGGGAAATGTTATCTTTTGCTAGTAGCTTCTTTCCTGTGATGTTCTGGGCCTAGAGGTGAGTGGTTTGGGATCACAGACTTATTCTGTTGCCTCTTATTTTTTAGAAAATTCAGAGTCCCCAAAGAAGGAGCTGAAGCCAAAAAAACCCAAAGTGGCTGATAAGAAAGCCAGGTTAATTATTCGGAACCTAAGCTTTAAGGTGAGTGACAGAGAAAACTTAACACTACCTGTTCTGAAGGCTGTTGGTGCTCATTGGTTGAACTCTTCACCAGGATGGTCTAATTGGACATAATTCCTTCTGGGAATGAGTCGTAGCCTTGTTGAATACAGAAAATGGGCCTGTATAAATAAGGACTAATTAAGGATAGTAAGTGTGAAGATGCCTTCCTTTTGGGACACTACTGCTGAGATAGGGAGGAGGGAGGAAGAGCTCTTTGATATCTGTTCTCTTTGTCTATTAGGTACAAAGCAAGGTGGCTTCTGTTCAGAGATGTTTTATGTCGTAGTCTCAAAAGTAAAAGAGTAAAAATATTCAAGCTCTTTGTCATGGACTAATTTAATGGTTGATGTTTCATGTTTCTTTTCTGTGATAATATCTTTTTCTTCACTTTTGGTGTCAGTGTTCAGAAGATGACCTGAGAACGGTGTTTGCTCAATATGGAGCTGTCCTGGAAGTAAGCATCCCCAGGAAGCCAGGTACTAGCACGCCATCATTTGTTGTGAGATTAAGATGACGTAACATAATGGTCTTTTTCCATTTCACCCTTGAACTAACCACTATTTGAAATAGAAATACAAGGTTCACGTCATACTCTCTGTGAGCCCCAGATGATAGGAGATATTATATATTAGTGTATATATATATATATATATATATATATACAGTATATATATATAGTGTGTATATATATAGTATATATAGTATATATATGTATATATATATGTATATATAGTATATATATGTATATATATAGTATATATACATATATATATATACTATATGTATATACACACACACACACACACACACACACACACACACACACACACACACACACACATATAGTATCAGGCACTGTGCTTGACACAGCAAAAACTCAAAAATAGTGCTTATTTCCTGGATGGCATTTTTAGTTAGATTAGAACTGGTTTTAGAAGACAAGTTACAGTTTAGGGAAATGCATTGCTCTCCCCAAGCTTGAGCCAGGGTATACTCAGCAGGAGGACATTAGCTATTGCTTCGGGGCTGACTGGTTGGCAGGACTTGGGCCATCTTTCCAGCCCTGGTTGCTGTAGTGTCCTTCTTGGTGTTTGTTGGCTCCTCACCTGCTGTCTCTAACTTCTTTGTACATCTGCACACAGATGGAAAGATGCGTGGTTTTGCTTTTGTCCAGTTCAAAAACCTCCTAGAAGCAGGAAAAGCTCTCAAAAGCATGAACATGAAAGAGATAAAAGGTAAGTTTTTTATACCCATACCGTTCACCCAGATATTTCTGGTGTTTGAGTGGAATTAGCACAGTAACCCACTTTCTACATTTTCAAAAGGTGTTTGATTTGTTGAGAGTCTTACTGCTAATATAGAAGCTGTTTTGGTGAAATATTCCTAGTGCTTGATCTTAGGGTTCAACTTGAAAGAACCCATGACATTATTCACTTGTCTTTATTTGGTTATGAGTGCGCATTTAAATCCTTAATGGAAAAAATGTCCCTGAAATAATCACTGATAGATGCTGGTTGCTGTCTAGGGGATGTGGGATTTGCAGATTTCTCCCTCTGTGTCATGATCACTATTCAGCACCTGTGGGCTGTTAAACGGTGAGGCCACTCGGGGTGTTCATTTACCAGGTACTAAAGAAGGGCTTGGCTTAGAGACTTGGTAACTTTCTCTTAATCTTGTGCTTTGGGTATCTTTCACCCAAAATTCTGACAGACTTGGTAACTTCTGTGTAGATTGCAGATTATTCCAGATATTTGTTTTGCCTCTTGCTTAGTCTAACTGGAAACTTGTCTAACTGTAAGCACTGTTCGCATTCTTTCTTTCTTTTTTACTCTCTCATCCCAGGTGCAGTGGTTATATAGAAAGGTGAAATAACTGCTTATTGATAAAAAGCTTAAAGTTTAGGGGCACCTGGGTGGCTCAGTCAGTTAAATGTCTGACTTCAGCTCAGGTCATCATCGCATAGTTCTTGAGTTTGAGCCCCGCATTGGGCTCTGTGCTGACAGCTCAGAGCCTGGAACCTGCTTCAGATTCTGTGTCTCCCTCTCTCTCTGGTCCTCCCCTGCTTGTACTCTATGTTTCTTTTTCTCAAAAATAAACAAACACCACACAAAAAATAAAAGCTTAAGGTTTAAAAAGGATAGGCTACTCTGAGCTTTATTTTAGGACCAACATTCTCTGAATCGACAGTTTCTTTGTCAGTTTTGGTTCCATTTTTCTGACTGGTTGGCAGGACTTGGGCCATCGTTGGTGATGTCTTTGATGAATAGGAAGTCATTTATAAGAGATGTTAAAAAGAGGAAGACCTTTCTGACGCTACTTTTCTGTCTGACAGGGCGGACAGTGGCTGTGGATTGGGCCGTGGCAAAGGATAAATATAAAAATACACAGTCTGCCTCTGCACCAGGTAAGATGGAGTGGTGGTGGGCAGGAGGGATTGTATGTCCTGAGGTGAGTATGGAAACAACTCTACCTCCGGTAAAATTATAAGGGAACCTGCTAGTCTGTCAGAATTTTGGGTGAAAGATACCAAAAGCACAAGATTAACGGAAAGAATGAGACTGAGGATTAAGAAAAACTCTGAGGGGCGCCTGGGTGGCGCAGTCGGTTAAGCGTCCGACTTCAGCCAGGTCACAATCTCACGGTCCGTGAGTTCGAGCCCCGCGTCGGGCTCTGGGCTGATGGCTCGGAGCCTGGAGCCTGCTTCCGATTCTGTGTCTCCCTCTCTCTCTGCCCCTCCCCTGTTCATGCTCTGTCTCTCTCTGTCCCAAAAATAAAGAAACGTTGGAAAAAAAAAAAAAAAGAAAAACTCTGAATTCTACAGGCTCAGAAATGAGCGTAGAGCTGTTTATTGATTCGTGTTGTGCCATCTGGTGATCTAGTCTCAAAACATAGGATCATTTGAATCTAAGCCCACCCCTGGGTGTGAACGTGAGTGAGGAGTGGGGCCTGAGTTCATTTTCCCCTCTGCTGGCTCTCTTTTCCCAACTTCTCATAATAGAGGGTGATGGAATATTATGAATAGGGAGACTTACAACTTAAGTTTTACTTAGAAAACAGTTGGCTTTTAAGCCACCCGGAGCTCAGAGAACAGAACTCACCGAGATTAAAGTTGATGCCTGGGCTCCACGGTGAGCACCCTGCCGGCTGTGGTGCACGATGGCAGGCTGTTTGTGGAGTCTCAGTGGCTGCTTTTCTCCTTCTGAGTCTGATTTTCCCTCAGGCTTCTGATGAATGGGACAGGCTTCCAGGCAGTCTTTGTGATGAGGGGTTCTTGTTGTTGTTTTAGCTTTTTTCCCTCATGCTTTCTCTCATATACAGTAAGAAAAATACTGGGGGAAAATGGCACTTAAGGTCCTAGCCCTAGTCCCGAGGAACTGGGAACTTGGGGTGTTAGTTACTCTTGTCCAAATAACCTTGTTTTGGATACTAAGTGAATTCCTAATTTTCTTTACTTCCATGTGTAGGTGAGAAGAGGCTTGGAGCTAAACATCAGGAATTAAGTAAAGAGAATGGCAGGGAAGAAGAGGATGGTACAGAAGAGGAAGAAGAGAAGGAGGAGGTGGGGGAGGACAATAAAGAAGCAAGGGTGACCAAGCCTACACAAATTCCAAAGAAGTAAGCAGCTCAGCTCATTGGAGATAATGGAGGAAGATTTAGGATGGTCTCTGGGAGGAGCATGATGTCTTCCCTGCCCCCATCACCGCAGTGGTGACGTGTGTCATGAAGTTGGATAGGATTAGATCCTAACTCTGTCAGTTCTGAACTGTGCCATTGCAGAGCCATCAAGAAGGCCCCAACTGTAGAGAGCAGCGAGGAGGATCATTCTGACGAGGACAGCGACCTGGAGGAAAGCGATAGCGTCGATGATGGAGACGAACTGGCTCAGAGTGACACCGACAGTGAACAGCAAGAGGATGAAGGTTTGCCTGGGATCTTTGTAGACGACTTTGCACTGAAAATCAGTTACCGAGGGACTCCTGGGTGGCTCAATTGGTTAAGTGTCCGACTTGGGCTCGGGTCATGATCCCATGGTCCTTGAGTTCAAGCCCTGCGTCAGGCTCTGTGCTGACAGCTCAGGGGCCTGGAGCCTGCTTTGGATTCTGTCTTCCTCTCTCTGCCTCTGCCTCACGCTTTGTCTCTCACTCTCTATCAAAAATAAACATTAAAAAAATTTTTTTTTTTAATAAAGTGAAATCAGTCACTGAGAAATGTGCAGCAGTTCAGCACAGGCCTCTTTTTAAATAGGATCCTAACTTATGTTCTGTCAGATGTGCTAAAAAGGATACCTGATAATCCTTCTAAAGGTTCTTGTTTTGATTTTTAAATACGTTTGGCATGATGTTTGAGGGTGAAGATTCCCAGGGAACTTAAAACCTGGCTTAATGCTGAGGTACTACGTCTCTTGCTTATCCAAGGTGAGTGAATAACTGGATCAGCAGGATATTGTGTCCTAACACTGAGGTGGATTTTAGACAACTTTTAGGAGTTAAAATGGGGATAAAGGGCCTCTTGGGGCATTTTGTAAAACTGTAATCAAACCCTGTTGCTACCTTTATAAAGAATGTTGGGTGAAACTCAACTTGTTTATTGAAGGAGGACAGGTCATTACGGAATAAGGAATGGCCAATAACTGGTTCCTTAGGTTAAGTCTAGCATATTGGTTTGGCCATATAAAAAAATGAGGAAATAAGCTTTTTCCATGAGGAGAGAATGGTAGACACCTTAGAATCAAAGAAGCTTGTATACTGAGGGGACTATGAGACCTTGCATTCAACAGCCATGTTCATCTATCTCGTACCATTCTTTACCTTGAAAAAATTACTGGGCCAATACATAATGCAGAAAATTAAAAAAGAAAGTGCAGAAGAGTGTAATATAGAAAGTAAAATGTTCTTGGGACACCTGGGTGGCTCAGCTGGGTGAGCATCCGACTCTTGATTTCAGCTCGAGTCATCATCCCAGGGTCATGGGATTGAGCCCCACATTGGGCTCTATGTTGAGTGTGCAGCCTGCTTGAAGTTCTCTCTCTCCCTCTCTCCCCCCTTCTCTCCCACTCTCTCCCTCTCCTCCTCTCCTCCCTTTCCCTCTCTTTCTCTCTCCCTCTCCCCCTCTCTCCTCTCCTTCTCCCTCAACCCCTCTCCCCCTCTCCCTGTCCCCTTGTCCCTCTCTTCCTCCCTCTGTCCCTCCTCCACTCATGCATATGCTCTCTCTCTCAAATTGAAAAAAAAGTTTCTCACCAATCCCCCAAGAGTCCCTCAGAGTAACCACTGTTGTTTCTTTCACATTGTTTCAGAAGTCTTCTATGTATATGTAAGCATATATGTCTATTTTTAAAATCAGTGAGTCTCCCTTGTACCCAGCCACTTAGGGCCCCTCTCTGGAGACACCCAATATTAAATGTTTCTTGTGTATCTATTTAATACCTTTGTAAGGAAAAATGTGTGTGAGCACGCACATCCAATATAGTGTATCCTTGTGTATGTGAATGTGTATTTTTTTCTCTTCAAATATTCTAAATGTTTATACAGTCACGATAGTATGTATGAATGTCTTTTTCCCCACACCCTTACCACATTGGATTTCGTTAGTTTTTTTGGTTTCTGCTAATCTGTTGGAATGAAAAATAGCATCTTATTTCTTGTGCTATGAGAGTAAGTTTGAGCATCTTTTCAAGTGTTTTGTTGTATATTCTTTGTTCACTTTTAACTAGATTTTTTCTTATTCGTTTATGCAAGATTTTTATATATCTGTGGAGTAACCCCTTGTCATGTGGGTGGCACTAAGTCTTTTTCAGTTTGTTATGTTTTTTTTTTTTTACTTTAGATGTACAAGTCTCAAAGAAAAAGAAGAGGAAGTTACCCTCTGATGTGAATGAAGGGAAGACCGTTTTTATCAGGTGTGCTTTTGTACCTTGAGAACTGCTGTTTATGTTGTCTGCACAGATTTCTTTCTTTCTTTCTTTCTTTCTTTCTTTCTTTCTTTCTTTCTTTCTTTCTTTCTTTCTGTCTCTGTCCATTTTTTTTAAAATGGAGTAATTTTTGAGTAATTTTTTATTTTTGAGTAATCCCTACACCCACCGTGGGGCTTGAACGCACAACCTTGAGATCAAGGGTTGCATGGTCTACCAACTGAGCCAGCCAGGTGCCCCACTCTTTTTTTTTTTTTTTTTTTTTTTTTTTTTTTTGTACTAGTTCTTCTAGGTAAGCCAGAAAATCAGATGCCTCTAAGACCGTTAATATATCGGGTCCTAGGAATATAGCCAACAGTGAGAATTTATGAGAACCAGAACTATATACAGAAGATAAATAGATAAATAACAGGGATCTTCATATTTTATCCTCATTTACATTTCATTCTTTGTAATTTGGGTAGCATCATTTGGAACAAATCAATTCTTCAGCTGTTAGAAACATTTTGCTTCTGGCCTTTGTTTTAGGGGAAGTACTGGGGAGAGGTGACATCACTTGTCTCCAGTAATTTCTGTCTTCTTGCCAACTCACCTTTATCCAGAATAGAATAAGGCATCCCGTCTGTTTCCAGGGAAACTTAAGGAGGGAGTCAGGTGGAAATAGGTTTTATTTTATGTTGTCATTGCCGTTTTAGTCTGTGGTAGATTGGCCTTTTCACAGAGTCAGGCTGTCTTCAGTATACCTCAGGCATGCCTTCTTGTCTTTTCTTCAGTGCCAATGTACTAGGGCTGTTTGGGTCATATTTTAAAGATGTGTATTCTTTCTGCCTGTAAAGTCTTTTTTTTTTTTTCTTTTTAAGTTTTATTTATTTTGAGATAGGGTGTGTGGCGTGCGGGGGAGGGGCAAAGAGAGGGAGAGAGAGCGAGAATCCCAAGCAGGCTCCGCACTGTCAGCACAGAGCCCGATGTGGGGCTCATGAGATCGTGACCTGAGCCGAAGTTGGACGCATACCCAACTGAGCCACCCAGGAGCCCCTTCCTGTAGTCTTTTAAGATTGTTTTTATACACAAGTAATTTGTGCTTATTGTGGGAAATTGAGGAAATAAGTGAGCAAAAACACACCCAAAAATATTAACCTTAATTATTACTCAGAGAACAACCACACACATGCCCACATCATAGCTATTTATAAAGGTGGGTTTAACCTATACAAGCCATGCTGTAGCCCATTTTCTGCCTTAACACGGTGTCTCTCCATAGTTGTTTTTACTGTTTGGAATTGGCCATATAAATAATTTTGTGTTTGTAGAGGATTCTGTCTGATAGGAAGGAAGAACTGTCACACTTAAGAGCCTGTGACCTCAATCCCAAGGATACCATTTCTTAACATTCCTACATCTTTTAATTAATAAAAAACTGAGGGGGGCGCCTGGGTGGCTCAGTCGGTTAAGCGGCTGACTTCGGCTCAGGTCATGATCTCGCGGTCCTTGAGTTCAAGCCCCGCGTCGGGCTCTGTGCTGACAGCTCAGAGCCTGGAGCCTGTTTCCGATTCTGTGTCTCCCTCTCTCTGACCCTCCCCTGTTCATGCTCTGTCTCTCCCTGTCTCAAAAATAAATAACACGTTAAAAAAAAAAACAAAAAAAAAAAACACAAAACTGAGGAAAGTTAAGAGGTAGGAGAGAGAAAACTATCCATAATACAAATTAGAAAAAATTACGTGGCTAGGATATGTCTTATTGCAGAACATCATTTTTTTGTCTCGATTACTTCATAAGATGGAATTGTTTATGGGGTTGTTAACTGAGTCTAAGAGAAGTAAAATTATAGATATTTATTTGGGACTGTTTGTTTGTTTTTACCCTGGAAGGATGTTCATAGCTGGGAAAATTAAGGATCTTTAGAATGTATTGAAATTTAGTAGAACAAAATCTTCCAACACTTTTTAATTACGTCGAGAGAAATACTTATTCTTTTCTTGTTTTGCATGTAGCTAGTAAACTTTTCCATGTTTTGCTTTTGAGTTATTATTTGAAGGATTTTGTTTGTTTGTTGTTTTTTGTTTTTAGGATTTTCTGACTTTTATATAGTTTTAACTGAAACCTAGTTTTCACAGCAATGCAAGGGGGGAAGTGAGTAATTGAGAGAGCTAGATACACACACGTGTATCTTGACTTTTCTTATTAGCCTGCTCTTTTGGTTGTAGTAAGAGAAACTAATTTTGGTCACTTTAAGTGAAAAAGTCTGTTTGTTGGATGAACATGGGTGGCTCACAGAATCAAAGGTGTCAAAAAAACAAACCTTAAGGAGATGAAAATCTGGGATGTTTGGGGCCCTAGTTGTAGGAGGCTGGGGTTTTTTTCTCTGGGGACACTGCCTTTTTTTTTTTATTCCTTCTTAAGGTATAACATATATTCTGTAAAGTGCATTAATCTAGGCGTACAGTGCAGTGACATTTTTCATACATATATGTCCATGTAACCACCACCCAGATCAATCTATAGAATATTTTCAGATTTCAGCTTCCCAGGAGTTTCCTTTGGGTTGAGTACTACTATTTTGAAATGAATCTACATCTTCGCTTCTGGTCTTTTTATATGCCTGTTCAAATTTTAAATTCCTGGGGGAGAGAATCTGATGGACGCAGAAAGGCCAGTCAATAATGGCTGAGGGACAGAATCACACAGCAGAGGCTAGGCTGGTGGAGGCCGCCCTGTGCATTGGTGCTATTCCCGAACAAGAGAGGGTGGCCGTGAGCAAGAGTGCCACTTCAGTTGGTGTCTTACCTTGTACTAGAACACAGGATCTCACTTTTGTAATTGGCTTTTCTTGTGACCTGTCTTCCATAGAAACCTGTCTTTTGACTCAGAGGAAGAAGAACTCGGGGAGCTCCTCCAGCAGTTTGGAGATCTCAAATACGTCCGTGTCGTCTTACATCCAGACACAGAGCATTCTAAAGGTATTTGCTGTCAGCTTGGCAGGTCCTAAAAAGGTTGAGACTGCTGCCATGGGCACTGACTAGGTTACATGAGAGCACAACGTGTGCCATTCTGAGGGGTCTACGGTCCACCCAGCCCGGGTTTCTGTGGCCCATAGAAGCACCAAGGACATTCTGAGGTTGTCTTCTAAGATATCACACTCAGCATCTTTAATGGTGCTGCCAGCCACAATTTTGTCTAAGCTTTTTAAGCCCTTGCTTATTTACTTTAGGGTAATGAATTCCATTTGTTGTTCTCCTTTGAATTTCAAATGTGATAGCATCTCATGGGTATTAATCATTCCACATTGCTTGAAATTACTGGGATCTTTTTCAGTTGCTTTTGTTAGAGATGGAAGCTAACAGAAATTTTGTTGCAGCAGCAATAGTCAGAAGGAAAACTGTGTATAGCAGGACTGCTGCCTTAGATTTTTTTCCTGAAGCTATTTCCTTTGAACTTTAAGGATTGGCCACAATTCCTTTTAGTATACTGTTGTTAGGTAAGCAGCATCTTTACAGCCTATTCATGATCTTTGATTTCATCAACTGCAATCATTCTCCTAAAGCAGTGAGTTCTTAATTCATTCTGATTCTTGATTCCTTTGAGATCTAGCAAAAGCTATGAACCCTCTCTCCAGAAAAATGCCACTTCTGAGGGTTTGTGGGCTCTCTGGAATCTACTCAAGGATTCACAGAACCTCTATTCTAAACCTTACTTTCCAAATTGATGAAACCTGATTGGTTTTGGTTTTTGCTTAGCCAAAAAGATATAAATAGGGCAGTATGATGGAAAGAAAACTGAGCTGCTTCCTGGAGATTAGGGATCTAATTGTAGCTGAGCCATAGACCAGCTGGGTGATTTTTGGCAAATTGTTTAACCACTGCGGGCTTCATTTTCTTATCTGTAAAATGAATGGGTTCAAGTAGAGTAATCACTTAAGGTGCTTTCAACTCTTAATATTCAACTATACTTCTTGGACCTTCTCCATTTCCAGTATGTTTTTCTAAAAACAGATGACTAGAGGGGCGCCTGGGTGGCGCAGTCGGTTAAGCGTCCGACTTCAGCCAGGTCACGATCTCGCGGTCCGTGAGTTCGAGCCCCGCGTCAGGCTCTGGGCTGATGGCTCAGAGCCTGGAGCCTGTTTCCGATTCTGTGTCTTCCTCTCTCTCTGCCCCTCCCCCGTTCATGCTCTGTCTCTCTCTGTCCCAAAAATAAATAAACGTTGAAAAAAAAATAAATAAAATAAAAACAGATGACTAGAATTGCGTAGAATGTTCCAAGTACTGTAGGATATTGCTTTACTTTGATGATATCTTTTGTTTCTTTTGAGCGCAGTAGTGTATTGGGTTGGTATTTTCAGAATGTAGTCAATACTTAACTTGCTCAGTCTCTTTCTTGGTCTATTAATATTAGCTCAGAGTTAATAATCTTAGTAAGCATAGTTTTCATTATTTTTTTAATGTGTTGTCTTTTTCTAGCTCATACTAAATTTTTTTGCCTACTCACACAGCCTTGGCCTCCTCCTACCATTTATCTCTGTCAGCATGCCATTTTGCTGTCTAGGAGAGCTAAAAATTTAGACTTTAGGAAAGTGTTAAGTCTAAACCCAATACTGACCCTGGGAATTCCAGTAATAAAATTCTTACCCATTCAGAGAGAAGTACACATTTTCTTCAAATTGGATGAATAAGCTATTCTGCCTATTAGAAACATTTTCCTCCATCTTCCTTCCTTTCTTTCTGTATCGTTCGTTTCTTCTATTGAGTGTCTGTTAATGCCAGACACTATGATAGGTGCTAACAATATAGAAACAGCCAAGAAACATGGGCCTTACTCCTGAGACACTCATTCTGTTTGAGATAATGCCACCTGACCAGTGCTGTAATAGAGAGATGTGATTGGAGGACTGAGGGGGACGAGGGCGGGGGGTACTTGGCTCTGCCTGGAGGAGGCAGGGAAGACCTCACCTAGATGGTGACTTTTGGGTCGGCCTGCCACATGTGTTGTGTCAGTCTGCTGCCATTCATTCTTGTAGGGGACAAAAGATCAATCAGTGCCCCAGTAGCTCTAGGAAGTTTGACATTTTTTTCATATATGAGGGAATATTTAAATTTGTATAAAGGAATACTAGCAAAATATTATGAGACTTGTATTTCTTTTTTGGAGTCTACTATAAGGTGAACTTTTTTTCTTTGCTTATAAAAACTGCTTTTTATCAGTAGCAGAAATTAGGATGGGTTGATTGGCCCTGCGTCTAACCAGGGCAAAGGTGTGCCTTTGCAAATTCTAGAGTATGAGTCAGGAATTGAGCTTATGGCTTTCTGGTTCACTGCTGTATTCATGCGATAGAGGCCAGGGACTTTGACTCCAAGAGGTCAGTCTGCCCATATCTGATGTCTCCCACGTAGCTTTGATGACAGTGAAATATGTAATTAATTTCAGGTTAAGTGGTTCCTGCCTCATTTTTTACTCCTCTAAAAGGCAAGCAGTAAGTGATGCTGAATCGAGTAGAATATCTCTACCATATCTTGTGGCTTTTTCTTACTAAGGAGAGCGATGGTGAGACTGAAGTTCTAAGAAGCATTGGAAAAGATGATGAAGTAATAGTAAAATTTCACGATAAGCACCTGTCCTCTTTTGTCTGCCTTTGCACCTTCAGTGCCCGACACGGTGCCTGTCTCGTAGCACCCTAACAAGATGGGAGTCTTGTCTGCTTCGTCTCAGGCTGTCGCCATGTGTAGTGTTATCTTTGGCACCCTGGTGGGCCAGGGGAGTTTGGCATGTCACTTAATTTGTCTCTGTGCAGGTTGTGCATTTGCCCAGTTCATGACTCAAGAAGCAGCGCAGAAATGCCTTGAAGCTGCTTCTCCAGAGACTGAGGTAAGGAGGACATTTCTTTTACTCCATAATTTAGGGGATAATGGCTCCAAAGGCCAGAGTCTGCTGTTCACATACAGCTTGATGATTACTGTCAATCATGTAATAAGATAAGGCCAACACTTACTGAGAACTTAGTGTGTGTTAGACACCGAGCTTTGTATGTATTACCTTATTTAATCCTTATATCACTTCTACGGGGGTATGTAACGTAAGTAAAATTATTATACCTATTTTATAAGTAAGGAAACAGGTTAAAAATGTATCTAATGTTTATTGATTACTGTTTGTACGTCAGCCTCTATCCTAGGCTGATGGGACAAGAAGGGATTAAGGTCATCTATGAAGTGGAGTAAATGAGAGAAAATGTATGGGTGATGGAGAATTTTTCTGTGTGTTCTATAGCCCAGTATAAATTGTTCTGAGATAAATTATCCTGTATTGCCATTATCTCTTAAATTCTCTTAAGTAGAGTTAACACTACCATTTTGTTAGCTTTCTTTAGAATTTAAAGATCATTTTCTTTAATTCGGGCCTACTTTGGTACTAATCAACTCCTATAAAATAAATTACTGCTAACTGCCCTAAGTGTACACGTGGCTTTTTTTTTTTTTTTTTTTTTTAATTAAGTAGGCTCCACACCCACCGTGGGGCTTGAACTCACAGCCCTGCAATCAAGAGTCGCATGCTCTACTGACCGTGCCAGCCAGGCACCCCTACACGTGGCCTTTTGCACAGCTATACTAAGTATTAGACTCAGTGGTCCACCTGCACCCGCCTGGGCTAAAACATCCTAGGGGTTGGGTTCCACAGCATAATTGGGGTTTGCTGTTTTCCCTTTCCTTGGCATTCCTTGTTAGGTGCTTAATTTCTACCCATTATGAATTTTAAGAGAGAGAGTTGCGGTCTGTTACAGGGTGGTGGGCTTAAACTGGATGGCCGACTGCTCAGAATCGACTTGGCCGTGACGCGTGACGAGGCTGCAAAGCTCCAGACAAAGAAGGTGAAGAAGCCAACTGGAACCCGGAACCTTTACCTGGCCAGAGAAGGCTGTGAGTAGTTGGAGGGAGCTGTGAACCAGGCTTGAGTAGCTGGCCCTGTGCAGTGGTGGTGAGCAGCAGTAGGATGTTTGGGGGCATGTTTCAAATTGAAAACCCACATGTCCTCCTTACCAGCATTATATTATTCCACTTTAGCTTATAATATAACACTATAGCTTATAATATAACATCATTATATTATTCCACTTTAGCAGATGTAGCTTTCTGTTAGGAAGACTTCGCCCATCTCTTGTCTGCCTGCTAGCTTTTAGACCTTTAGATCAGAGGATTAGCAGGGCAAAGAGGGAGGAAAAATTCAAATTGCCTTTGCTTCTTGTCATGAGTTCTGATAATTTTCCTGAAGGAGTTGAAAATTATCACTAAAATTATTGCTTTTTTGGATTATGAATATAAATTGTGTGCTCAGTACCTTTCCTTTAATGTCAGAAAGATAATCAGAAATTAGCTTCAATTAAAAAAAAATCCCTTCCTCTAGGTCATGCAGTATTTGTCAGCCCACCTGCTGCCCAGCTGCACAGCCTGGACTGGTGATGTAAGGCTGTTAGCCTTCAGTTCTAGGCCTCTTATGGCCATATTGCTGTTTTCGGGTTGGCTTAACTCACTGCTTTCTACTGGCAGTACTAAGTACAGTACTTAATACATGAGGGACAGTAAAATTCCAAGGGCAGGTTACAAGTAGAGCGGTTTTGTATTCCAAATATCTAAAATGTACTTCCTTTCAGACCTTCCTCTAGGCCTTTCCACTAGACTTCGGGCATGCACATGAAGTTTTTGAGGGGAGGGAAGGAGAAAAGGAACAAATTCACAAAATGTTCAGTTTTTAGTCCTTGAGAGCCGCTCAGAGCTGAGAACTTAGCCCTGTAGCCTATTTCTGGACCTACCCAAATGCCACTATGTCCTGGCCAGCATAGTCCTCTGGGCCTGTACAAAGAGCTTGCATCATTCAAATCACATTCCTCTTGTTGCTCAGTGAAAATTCCCTTGCTGATGTCTTGGCCTTTTTCCCTCTTTCTGCAGTGATTCGTGCTGGGACTAAGGCTGCTGAGGGTGTGAGCGCCGCTGATATGGCCAAAAGAGAACGGGTGGGTAGATTAGGCGCCAGCCTACGGGATCTGCATGACTTCGTACAAATCAGTAAATAATAACTGTTGAATGCTGGAGGTGCTTATCAGAGAGCTAAGCATCAGTCACAGACCCTGCTTATGCTCTTGTTAGAGGAAAACATACAGATGAAACAGCAAAGAAGCCAACACTGAACATAATACAAGAGCATTGTATGCCATTATAAGGACTGGGTCTTCTTGTGTAATTTCCCGATGCCCAGCAGTAAGTGTTGGCCATATAGTATGCTTTCTACAGCATGGAGGCCAAGGCTGTGTATAATTAAGTGTCAGTGTAAATACAGAATGACATAAGAAAGGAAGATGAGAATAGGCTGGAGTTAGTAGGGAAAGAGGTAGATGGGGTTCTTGGAAGAGTTAAGATGTCCTTTTTTGGTAGGAGGTTATGTTCAGATTAGAAAAATCATATTAGGGGGTGCCTGGTGCCTCATTGGTTAGGTGGCCAACTCTTGATTTCAGCTCAGGTCATGATCTCCCTGTCTGTGAGTTCGAGCCCTGTGTCGGGCTCTGTGCTGACAGCTCAGAGCCTGGAGCCTGCTTCGGATTCTGTGTCTCCTTCTCTCTGCCCCTCCCCCAATCACACTGTATCTGCTGTCTCAAAAATAAATAAATGTTTAAAAAAAAAAAAAAGACAATTAGCTTTGGAGTCTGAAGGTACAGAGATGGAGAACAGAGATGAGAATATAATGACACCAAGAGGCAGTGTGTTTTTTCGGTGTACAGTTTCTAGACTCATGTTCACAACTTTTTTAGTAGTGAACATCTGGAAACCATGGTGTTTGGGGGGCATTATATGCCCTTTATCACATTGCCTATCACAATGTGATAGTGACACATTTAATTTTCCCTTAGAATGAATTTTTCTAGCAAAAAACTCACTGGATTATATGCATCATAATTCACAGTTGTTTCTTTTAAGACTGTTGAACGTAGGCATGCGAGCCACTTCAAATAACCCTTTAATATTCATTATCAGAGACTCTGATCATTTTGTAATTTGTTAGGACCTTTACCAAATAAGGAACAGCAGAAATGAGACTTGATTAAAGAAAAAATTTAATTTAAAACTTTTTTTCTACTAATCTAATTTAAAAAAAAATTTTAATGTTATTTATTTTTGACAGAAAAAGAAAGAGATCAGGAGCTAGGGAGGGGCAGAGAGAGAGGGAGACACAGAATCTGAAGCAGGCTCCAGGCTCTGAGCTGTCAGCACAGAGCCTGATATGGGGCTCAAACCCACAAACAGTGAGATTATGACCTGAACCCAAGTTGGACGCTTAACCGACTGAGTCAACCAGGCGCCCCCATCTACTAACCTAATTTTAAAAACAAAGCAGGAAAAGAATGTTATCCTCTCACTTTGGAGAGTGGACCCCTGGGACTGGTGCAACATCCTTGAGGCCAGTGCTCTAGAAGCAGAATTCATCTCTGTGATCATAGACAGTCTTCTGCCTCAAGGTGGCAGAGTCGAGACAACATTCTAGCAAGTATTCTGTAAATAAATTCCACATCCTTTTGGAAAAACTAGAAAATTAGTTTGAGTTGGTGGACAGATAAGGACTGGGCATAGACGTTAACCACAGGATTATGTATTATTTGCTTTAGGCCAGCTTTTGAGTTTGGGATTTTTTTGTGTATTACTTCATTTCAGCCTCACATCAGTGCTGAGAGATTGGTATTTTGATCTACAGTTCCACTTTGTAGGGGGAAAAACTGAGGCTTAAAAAATTTCATGTAACTTCGCCAGTTAGAATGGATTTCTAATTTAGTCTGAATCCAGAGCCCATGATCTTACCACATACCCACCATCTGGCCTCTTTGAACCTGTCTTTCCCTAGGCTACACATCATAAGGCTGCGGGTGGGCGATTTCCTTTCTTTTTTCTATATGCATGGTTATTGGATTTGGGGGGGGGGGTTGGTCACAGTTTGTTCCTTTTGGAGAATTAGGAACCTGCATTTTTAAAAGGTAGATTGTATTGTTAACAGTTTATTGTTCTTTCAGTTTGAGCTGCTGAAACATCAGAAACTCAAGGACCAGAATATCTTTGTCTCCCAGACCAGGCTCTGCCTGCACAACCTCCCAAAGGCTGTGGATGACAAAGAGCTCAGAAAGCTGCTGCTGAATGCCACACGAGGGGAAAAAGGGGTGCGCCTCAAGGAGGTGAGAGTTGGCCCTGCCCACCCACAACTTCAGTACTCATCATGGGTCGTTTTGAGCATTTATTTCAGACTGTGGTGCTAGCAGATTGACAGCGTTTTTTTTGGACACGTTGTCAACAGTTAAGGTAGTTTTCACGTTTGCTTGTTTATTTTCTCTTCTTAGAACTGCCTTTCAGAGGCACCTGGGTGGCTCGGTTGGTTAAGCGTCTGACTCTTGATTTTGGCTCAGGTCATGATCTCACAGTTCATGGGATTGAGCCCTGAGTCAGGTTCTGTGCTGACAGCACAGAGCCTGGTTGGGATTCTCGCCCCCTGCCCCACCCCCATGTGCCTTCTCCCTCTCTCTCTCCCTCTCTCTCTCTCTGTCTGCCCCTCCCTCATGCCCCTTCTCTCTCTCTCTCTCTCTCAAAATAAAGAAAAACTTTAAATGACAGTCTTAAAAAAAAAAAGAACGGCCTTTCACACACACTGTCCAAGTTGCAGCAGAATGCGAGGAAGTGTCTGCCTCACGAATTAATTTGCATGCTTGCTATGTGCTCAGCATCATAGCAGGTGCTGTAATGTTAATTTTTTTGCAGAGAAAACAATCTGTGTAGTTTGGTCTTTAGAAGAACATTTTACTGCCATTTAGGCCCGTACTGTATAAAAAGAGTCCTCAGTGGTATGTGGTAAGCACAGAGAGCCACACGGGTCTTCAACAGTTGTATTAGACAAACACTGGATTCAGACCAAGACTTGATTACACAGTGAGTGCAGACACTGTTCCCCTGCCCCCACAGCACCCTCTGTAACCCTTTGTGATAGCACTTACTATTACACTGTCCTGTAATTGTCTGCCAGTAATTTCTCCCGACCACACTGAGCTCTTGGAGAGTAGGTATCCCACTGTTCCTAGTCCTTGGCAGAGTACCTGGAACATAGTCATCTCTCATCAGTACCTATTGAATAAGTAACGTAGCCAGTATTATAAATCTGCTTTGCTCTGATTGGTGACTATAAGCTGTTTTCCTAATCCTGGAAAATCTCTTAAAATGTATGGCATTGGTATTTGGGGAATTACATGAGAGAATGTGAACATATCAGCACATATCTGACACTGCTCTTAGTAAAACTGTTCAAAGTGTTACTGGTGTAGGGGTCACTTGTGAAATTTCTCATATCAGCATCCACAATACTTAGTAAGCGCCTGTACATCATCAGTTAGGAAAATTTAGGAGTTTACAGTGTTTGCACTGTATTGAATTTTCTCTTTAATTCTTTCATATGCTCACCTCATGAAGGTATAGTATGTCAGCAAGATTATAAGCTTCTTGAGGACAGGAACCATTTTATGCTTTTCTTGGTTTCTCTATAGTACATGGCACAGCTCTAGGGACAGAGAAGTACCAGAAGTATACCAAATGCAGCATCCACATGTCCTTAATACCTACATTTCTCCATTATGTGGTAACTACAGCTTCTAGGAGTAATAGCATATAAACAGTATCCTAAGATAGACTGCTATGATATGGTATCTTCAATGCCCCAGGATGCTTGTTACATTTAAGTAAAGGATTTAAGGAAACATCACACCAGAGACAATCTGAGCTCTGAGCAAAGCCAGCTGAAGCTTCTTCCTGTTTTTCTAGGTTATATGTTAGGCAGGTTCTTCCCCACACCTGAATGTATTTCTTTTTTAAAAAATTTTTTTTCAACGTTTTATTTATTTTTGGGACAGAGAGAGACAGAGCATGAACGGGGGAGGGGCAGAGAGAGAGGGAGACACAGAATCGGAAACAGGCTCCAGGCTCTGAGCCATCAGCCCAGAGCCCGACGCGGGGCTCGAACTCCCGGACCGCGAGATCGTGACCTGGCTGAAGTCGGACGCCTAACCAACTGCGCCACCCAGGCGCCCCTGAATGTATTTCTTAACTAAAGCCATCAGGCCTTCTTTCCCTTCTTCAGTAATTTCCTTTTTCAGTGGTTTCTTCAGTGATGAGATCTATGGGTGGTGCTTCATCCTTACTGATAACTTGTATAGTTTAAAGTTCTATAAACCTCTCAACTTATATGTATTATTAGCAGTTAGCTGTCATAATTTTGGGGGGAGGAAGTTTGTTTTATTTACGTGCTTATATATAGGTTTTTATTGGTCTCTGTAAACTCTTAGAGAGCCAGAAGGTATCTATTTAATTGGTTTTGTGCTTTCTAGTAGGTGTATTCTATTAAGACAGACACTGGTAAGTATGTTTTCCAGTATGACTGTTGTGATGGTGATATAGATCAGGATTCTGTTCCAGTAACCTGATTACTTAGTGAATCTGTTCATGTTCTTATCCTGTAATCAAGGATTTTTGTTTTCTTGCTGTACTTTTAGTGTAGGGTGATGCGAGATCTCAAAGGAGCGCATGGAAAGGTTAAGGGTCAGTCCCTGGGCTATGCCTTTGCAGAGTTCCAGGAGCACGAGCATGCCCTGACAGCCCTTCGCCACATCAACAACAATCCCGAGATCTTTGGGCCTCTGAAGGTGAGCCTTTTCCTGTGGGGAGACCTGATCCTCTGAGGGCCATTTGCAGAAAACCATTTCTCTCCTTTATGTCCAGTGTCCTCTGACTTGTGTGTGGTGGGGAAGAGTAGCCAGTCGGTGGAGGGAATAGCAGTGATTCAGCTGATGATTAGAAGGAATTGAAATCTAAATTGGACAGCCTGCTTGCGGAACTGGCACCCTACCTTTAAGTAGAGTAAGTGAGCAGGAGAGAGGGGAGTAGTGGAGGACAGCTTAGGTCATTGCACTCAGAAATTAAGAAATCTATTGAATGACATTTTCCTTTTGACACAGAGACCGATAGTGGAGTTCTCTTTGGAAGATCGAAGGAAACTTAAAATAAAGGAACTGAGGATTCAGCGCAGCCTGGTACAGCACTGAAATGTTTTTCTGTTTTTGTTTGTTTGTTTTTAATTGTGGTCAGATACACATAACACAGAATTTACTATTTTTAAGTGTACAGTTCAGTTAAAACGATTTATTTCAGGGACACCTTGGCTCAGTTGGTTAAGTGTCCAACTCTTGATTTCAGCTCAGGTCATGATCTCACGGTTTGTGAGTTCAAGCCCTGCATCAGGCTCTGCACCAACAGTGCAGATTCTCTCTTGGGATTCTCTCCTCCTCTCTCTCTGCCACTCCCCTACTCGCGTGCACACTTTCTGTCTTTCAAAATAAATAAATAAGCTTAAAAAAAAAACTATTTCAGTTAAAACAATATATTTAAACTCCTGATTTGTTCAGTTTGTGGTTCTGCACCCTTGAAATAGGTCTCTCTACCTGAATCAGTTCTTTGTTACCCTTTACTCTTAGTTCCCTAGAACTCTCAGGCCATCTTCTCCTCTGCTAGCCTATCCTGTGATAGCTCCACAGAAGGGAAAGGAAGGAGAGAGGAGAATCAGGCTGATATTATTAGCGATGAGCAATGCCAGTACAGTGTTTGGTGATGGTACATGTCAGAGGTAGTGGCCCAGATGAAAGTTTTACATTGCTGTAGATTTCATCTATCTCTTCCAGAATTCTTAGATGGCTCCAGGAGTGTGATGCCTGATAGTGTTTTAGTGTTGTTTTTAAACCAGTGTGGTGTCAAGGAAAGAACAAGCACAGGAATACTTACGGTCATGGTCAGGCTCAGGCTCTTCCTCTGAGTTCCTTAGCAAGTTAGTACCTTTCTCAGCTTCAGTTTCGTTTGTAAAATAGGATCAACAGCATCTACCTCGCATGATTGCCCGGGATTAAGTGGTAACAGTGCATGGTCAGCACACAGTCAGCACTCATTTTCTTACCCATCTTCCCCAGGGCGTAGGAGGCCAGGTTATTCTTGATACCATAACTCCTACAGCGTCCATTGATAGCATATCTTAACTTGCTTATATACCAAATATTTGTACTCTTTGTGGTGTGTATGGTGGACTGACCAATAGAAGAGCAGTTTCGGTGGTTAATACAGTGGTCTTGGGTCGGAAAACCTGGGATCTGGTTCTTGTTCAAGGCAGCTTTGTTGTTCTAGATGTAGACTTATTTACTGCTGTAAGCTATTGCTGTGGAGTGATTCTGAAGCTAGTGACTTAGAAAACTACTCAGATGGCTCTTTTGTTGCCTATACTTGTGTACATACTGCTCTTTGTGTAAAATTGCCCCTTTCCCTTGGCTCAAGAATACTTCTACACAGTTTTCATGTTCAGATCAAATGTGCTTCCTCTAGCATTTTTCTACCTCTCTCAGAAGAGGTAAGACCTCCTTACTTGTACTTTCGTGAACTTCCCTAAGATCTTTAGTTTTTCACTTTGCTTTGTTTGTGTGTCTCTTGTCTCCACTAGGTTGAAAGTACTGAAAGGGAAACATTGTTCTTTCCCTCTGGACCCTTACCTTAGAAACTGACACTGGCACAGTACAGGCTCATAGCAGATCTTTGTTGTGTCAATTATTACACTAATTTCATGTGAATCTGCTTTTTCTTCTACTACAGTGCAACATAAATCTGTAACACCTTATGCCTTCCTTCTCATAGCATCTTTTCCGCATCTTCACTTCATTTATTCCTTCTCTAGTGTTCTTCCTTTCGTTATGTAGATTTGAGTTTCTGACCTAGGTCATCTTCCTCCTTTGAAGAAATTCACTTAGCCTTTCTTGCAAGATAGGTCCCCTGGTGACAGATTCCTTCTTTTAGTTTTTTGGGGTGTGTGTGTGTGTGGTTTTTATTTCTTTTTTTGAGAAAATCTTTATTTCTCCTTCACTTTTGAATGATAATTATACTAGATGCAGAATTCTAAGTTGGTGACTCCCCCTCCCCCCCCCACCCAAACTTTAAATATTTCTGTGTTCTCTTCTTTCTTACATGGTTTCTGAAGAGTTCAGTGTAATCCTCTGTAGGTAAGGTATTCTCTACCCTCCCCCTCCCCCCAGCTACTTTCCAGATTTTCACTTGGTCTTTAATTTTCTGCAGTTTTGTATGATGTGCCTGGGTGTTGAGTTACTGGTATATATTTGGCTGAGCTTCCTGGATCTGTGGTTTAGTATCTGTCACTAAGTTTGGAAAACTTTCAGCCCGGTTACTTCAAATATTTCTTCTCCCTCTGGGATTCCTCTCACACACGTGTTACACCTTTGGTAATTGTCCCATGCTACTGGCATGTTCCTACTGGCTTTTGAGTCTTGGACATACATGTACTTTCCCCTGTCTCTGCATATGGGGAGGGAAGTAGTGGTTTCATGTCCCCCAAACTGGTAACCATCTGTTACTATATATTCACTTTCCTATAATTTGTAACTATTCAGGGGAAGAAGTCCCCTGCTTTCACTACGCTCACATAAAGCTCCTTTTCTGCTGAGTGTTTCCAGCAAATAAGCCTCATCCAGAAACCGGATGGCAGTCTCTTGTTTTATGCAGCAAAAAGTGAAATCCAAGCCTGCAACCGGTGAGCCCCAGCAGGAACAGCCAGTGCTTGGAAAAGACCGGCAGCGGAAAGCAGCTCAAAACCACACACAGGAACAAAGCAAGGCCGCCCTGGAGCAGAAGGGAAAGGTGCATTCTACCTCGTGGACGGGGTTCCAGACCAAGGCTGAAGTGGAGCAGGTGGAGCTGCCTGATGGAAGGAAGAGAAGGAAGGTCCTGGTGCTCCCCTCACACCGAGGCCCCAAAATCAGGTGAGATGCAGGACTGTGGCATAGAGCAGTGGGTGGCTTCTAAAAGGGTTTGTTCTCACTTAATGCTTTCTTATTGTAGCTTTTGTTTGGATGAAAGGGATGTTTAGTACCGTGTCAGTCCCCCACGAGGGGTTCGCGTGCAGGCATCTCTACACTAGCAGAGATGTGCTCTTGGACCACCAGGAGGCTGGAAGAAGCACTAGCAGAGGAGACCTCGGGGCAGCCTTCTAGGGCAGGCCTTCGTGCCTTTTTCCCTCTTCTGAAGAGCCTCCTCCCATCTGCAGGGCTGTCTCTGTTGGCTGAGGCCCACCTACTCAAGGTTATCTTGCAGATCCTATTTGAGGCAACAGATTAGTGCTATCCACAAAAGCCAGTCTTTACAAAATATTTGTTAAATAAGTGAAGGTGTTTGAGGATCCTGTGAGGTTTTAAGCTGAAACAACAAATACAAAATGTTGAGCCTTAGGGTATTCTGTTACAGTATTCTTTTTTAGAATGACTTGTCATGGACTTAGAGCCAGTGTTAAAAAAGGAATTTTATCTTCTGGCTTAGACAGCCTCAGAGGTGCCAGTTAGAGGAAGAACTCAGAGTGACACTTACTTGACCTCTTATTTCAGGCTCCGGGACAAAGGCAAAGTGAAGTCTCTCCCTCCCAAAAAGCCAAAGCCCCAGATAAACCAGCAGAAGCAAGAGAAGCAGAAATTACCTTCCAAGCAGGTGAGTTCTGTAGGGCACCAGGCTTTGGTATAGCATAGCTCTGCCCGGGGCTGGCAGCCGCTTTTGTGCCCTGATTAGTTAAGCAAAAAGAAAGGGCTTCTGGATTGCAGCTACATGCAGGACTACAGCTTTATAGAGGATGTTGAGGTAAATATATAGTTTTCAAAGTGGAGAGAATCTGGGACACCTGGCTAACTCAGAAGAGCATGCAACTCTTGACCTTGGGCTCGTGAGTTTGAGTCCCATGTTGGGTATAGAGATTACTAAAAAAAAAAAAAATTAAATTTAAAAAAATAGGGGCACCTGGCTGACTCTTGATCTCAGGGTCGTGAGTTCGAGCCCCACATTGGGTATAGAGAGCACTTAAAAATGTTGAAAAATGAATAAATAAAAAATAAATAAATATTATAAATAAAATAGTGGAGAGGACCAAGTGTATCAGTTACTCTATTTCAACAATTATCTTATTTTCTTATTCCTCATACATACTGTCCCCTGCCCACAACATATTAAAGCAAACTGCTTCGCATATAAATATGCCTTATAAGAAAATGAGGTATACTGCTCAGAAAAATACCTCAGAATGCATCTCCAACTTACCAGGCCTTAAAAATATACATATATTATGCCATTATCATACTTAATGAAATTAATAGGAAGCCGTTAATATCATTTAATATGCAACCCATATTAAAATGCCCCCAGTTGCCTCAAAAATGTTCTGTTATAGTTGGCTAGTACAAATCAAGGTCCAGAAAGAGTCCACACATTACATTTGGTTTTTATATCTCTTAAATCTTTTTTTCCCCCTATAATACTCTTCCTTATCACCTCCCTTTTTCCATGCTGATAATTCCTTGGAGAAACTGAGTCATTTGCCCTTTAGAATGTATTACGTTTTAACTTTAGCTGCTTGCTTCCTTGTGGTATCATTTAACTTGTTCCTGTGATAACCATGTAGTGCCTGTAAACTGGTAGCTAGATGTACCGGCTTGATTAGAGTCAAGTTCCATTTTCTTTTTTTTTTTGAAAGATTTTATTTATTTTTAAGTAATCTCTACACCCAACATGGGGCTGGAAGGCACAACCCCAAGATCAAGAGTCATACGCTCCACCAACTGAGCCAGCCGGGTGCCCCTCAAGTTCACTTTTCTTGGCAAGAGTATTTCATGGGTAGTGCTGGGTGCTTTCTGGTGCGTTGACACCCTAAGGCACATAATGTCTGGTTGCCCCATGTTTAGTGATGCTCAGGGGTTGATCAGTAGATCTGTAGGCTTAGGGGTTGTCTGCCTGTCTTCTGTTTGTAAAGTTCCCATCAGCTTCTCACCTGATGGTTTTAGCACATACTGATGATTGCTATCTAGATCTGTGATTTCAATATGGGTTCCAGATGGTGGTTTTTTAGGGTTTTGTTTTTGTTTTTGTTTTTCCTCAGTTCTACATTGTTTTAGTAGAACTTTAGAGAAAAGAATTTTCCCTTGTCAACTATTTGGTTACCATGCAATACCATTTATGTTGGAAAGGCAGGATAAATGCTTGATTTCATTTCTCTTTGTCCGTTTTCAGAGTAGTGATTTGGTGCCCTACCAGTGAGATTTTTTTAGTACTATAGATTCGTAAGTTTTTGTATACTTGATATGTTTCAGTCAAATATAGTTATTATTCTTGTCCCATCTTAGGCCAGCAGAAGGCCCTTCAGGGTGGCTCTCGATGCTTTCTGATATGAGCCTGTCTGTGGTAGTGTCCTTGCTTTCTGGTACAACCCGATGTTGCAGCTCATCTTACATAATTTTTCCCCTGGTCCTGGCGTTAGCCATTTTCCCAAGCAGCCCTAGTTTCTTTTAGTAGAAAATGGTTGTTCTACATTCTTGAACATCTGAGGTCAAGCATTCTTTTCTCCTTCCCTAGTCCCTTTCTGTTAAGTTTCAAGGGCAAAGGAAGCATTAGCTTCTCCTCCTCCTCAAGGAATCTGTCTCTGGGAAGTCTGATCCATGTTGTACTATCTTATGGAGCTCTGTCTCTGAAATCCCATAAGCAGTATTCTTGTTAAGGGAAAGGGCCAGCGAGAAGGTCTAGACTCTGGGCTGACTCTTTTGCAAGAAGACTCACGTGAGCATCTAAGGGCTAGAGCTCAGGAGCACCTGCAGTGTTTTAGAGGGGCCCTTCTCTTAGGCATTCCTGGTCTGGTTTCTTGCCAGTGGACAATTCATTTTGCATTTTCTAAGGGTCACTCTCTGGAAGTTCACCTCTTGTGGTGAACAGGATTTCTTATTTTCTCTCTTGGGTGGTGTTAAGGGTAAGGTGATATTCAGTGCTTGAAATTCATAATCTTGTTTTTCCCTATTTCATTTATAGACACCTAGGAGAAAAGCTAAGGGAAATAAGACTGAAATCCGCTTCAACCAGCTGGTCGAACAATATAAGCAGAAATTATTGGGACCTTCTAAAGGAGCACCTCTTGCGAAGAGGAGCAAATGGTTTGATAGTTGATGATGGTAGCAGACTGGATAAGAAGCTGGATTGTGCACTTCTTGGTAAAGCTCCCAGATCTCCCTCCACGCCCTCATGTTATTCTCTGATAGGACACTCCCTTTCCTACCCAGTTCACCACCACTTTGGTGAGAGGCCCCCTGGGCTCTGCATGTTTGAACTTTGGGCCCTCCCCGGTGGGTGATTAGTGAACCACAAAGAGAAAGCTCAGAAAAACATTTGGATGCTTCTTGTGTATTATCCAGGTTACCGTGTGAATTGTGTCTATAACTGTTACTCACTTAATCCTTCCTTTCTCAAATGGAAAAAATTGTAAAGAGCATTCTTGAGGGGTGAATTTTTAAGATGTCTATTTTGTTAAGGGTCTTCTTTAAATGAGATCTTTTGTGGCTTTTTTTAATAACAAATGATCATTTCTAATAGATGTGAATCCTTTATTATTAATGAACGTTTTTGACTTTCCTCTCATTCAGTTACATAGTTCCACATACTGCAGGCATTAAGTAAGAATGGAGAAAAATGATTTCCAGCCTAATCTCTGAGAGATTGCTCTCTCTCTCCCCCACTTTCTCCCAGTGACTGGGAAAGTCACTGAGGGCAGTGAGTCCTGGCAGAGAGCAACATCTGATCATTGTTTGCCAGATGAGTGGGTTATTATTAGTAGTTGAGTAGAAATCAGTCTGCAGTGCCCCACAGACACTAGCCTAGCTGGTGATAACCCACATTTTCTTTCCTCCTTAGGACTTACAGAGGTAAGGTCTGATGGAAGGAGCTCTGAACATGAGGCCTAGGGTCGAGCCTGTCCTGCCCTTAACCTAATGGGTGGCCTTGAACCAAACACAGACTCTCTGAGCCGCAGGTTTCTTATCTATAGCGTAAGGAATGTAAAGTTTTTCTCTTATCCTTTTTGGCTCTGCTCTTTTTCTAACTCATTCATTGTAATTCATACTCCTTTTTTTAAATGTTTTCTTTATTTTTGCGAGAGAGAGAGAGAGAGAGAGAGAGCGAGCGCGCAAGCGAGCGCACAGTTTGGGGAGGGGCAGAGAGAGGGAGACAGAGGATCCGAAGTGGGGTCTGCACTGAGAGTAGTGAGCCCAATCTGGGGCTTGAACTCCAGAACCGCGAGATCATGACCGGAGCCAAAGTTGGACACTCAACCGAGTGAGCCACCCAGGTAGGTGCCCCCATACTCCTCTTTTAAACTCAGGATAGAGATGATTGGTTACTTCCAAAATTTTAGAGGTATCGCAAAAGCTGGGAGGGATGGTGAATAAATACTAGTGTAGATCCAAAAAGATCATGATAGCCTGAGGAATGGGTTAAACCTGATAAGGTGAAAATCACTGGGAACAAACATAAATTCCTTCACTTGGGTTCAAAAACCCTACTGCATAAGTTCTGGTGGGAAAGTCGGGTCCACCGAATTCACATTATGAAGCAACAGTGTGGCTGCCACACGTGTAATCGGACTGTTTGGCTGTTGTAGTGGAAATGGGATGTCTCTGGTGAGTCAGCTGCTAGGCCTCTGGGTTGGCCAGAGCACATGTGTAAGACAAATGTGATGACCAAGTTGGCGAAGGAAATAAAAATGTCAGACGGAAAACAGTGAGTCACGAGTTGATTATTGTTGAAGCTGGTTGTAGGTAAATGGAGATTATCTATTCGCTCTGATTTTGTGGACATTTGAAATTTTCCATAATAAAAAGTTTAAAAAGTCACATGAGTAACTCAAGGAAACTCGTACTGACGTGCCTGAGAAGGGAATTCTTGGGGTCTTATTAGCTTTTAGTAGAGCCCAGAAGGATACGTGGAAGCAGATGAGTAAAAGTCACAAGGAATCAGATTTTAGAAGAACTTCAGTGTGGCTGCTCCATGTCTGGAACAGTCCGAGTAGAGTAAGTCCATGATATTGCCAGGGGATCCCGGTTCCAGGGGATTGGGCTAGAGGAGGGGGTCAGCCCCCATAATTGGTCAGCCCCCATAATTGGTCAGCCCATTAATGTTTGGCCCCAGGATGACCTGAAGATGTGCTTCATGTCTCACCCTGGTCCCTGAGGCCCCTTTCTAGAGAAAACCTCTTCATTCTCTGTTTAGTGTCCTTCATACCCGTGGTCCTCAATAAGTCTGCCCCAGGGTTGGGATGGTGTAGCTCCTGCTTAAAACCCTTCAGTGGTTTCTCATCTCACTTTGGTTGAAATGTTAACTCCTTCCCGTAACATGCAGTGCCCTCAGTTGAGCCCCTATCACCTCCCCTACTTGTCTTTATCCATCTCTGCCGCCAGGACTTCCTCCAGTTCCTTTGTCTCTGCCACCTCAGAGCCTTTGTGTTTGTTCCCTTCACCTGGAGAGCTTTTCCCTCAGATCTTTTGCTAATCAACTCAGATCTGTAACTGAGCTGTAAACCCCTCCTGGAGCTCTTTCCTGGCTAAAGAAGGGCTTTTCTTCTCCTCTGTCCTGCCCCCATCACTGAACTGTGTTACTCTGCTTATTTTTGTTCTAGCATTCAGGTCTATCTGAAATTATTTGTTTGTTCTCTTAGTATGTATGCTTTGTGAAAGGAACTTGATCTCTCATTGGTCCTGGAGACAACAGCACCTGGAATTGAACCTGGCACATAAAGGTAATGAGTAAATATTTTCTGAATGAAAAAAAAAAAAAATGGGCAGAGGAAGAAACAGTACTCAGTAGGTCAGAGAAGAGTTGGAAATGTTGTCCAAAGTTCTGGACTCTCTAGTCCAACCTGATGCTGTAATAAATGATGCTTTCTTCAGAATCATTGCAACCCTTGGGATATGGCCAATGCAGTATCTTGCAGTGAATGGTCAAAAATGCCCTTTATTGATTTAAAAATGGATAAAGGAAAGACCCTGGAAATATTTAATTAAACCTTTCTTGGGAGAGAACAAAAGGACAGGGGCTGTATCTCCAGCGTTATCTTGAGACTGGAGACTTGGCGAGTTTGAAATGTTCTTACACTAGCTTGGCCACACTTCTGTCCTAGGAAGGTCTGTGCACTGTGGAGGGAGTTAGATACTTTATTAAGGTATAATAATAATAATATAGGTATATAATATAATAATAATCATATAGGTATGATAATAATTAAGAATATCTACCACCTGCCGGTCAGCTAACCTGTTTTCCCTTTGCCAACTCTGCTCACCAGATACTTTTTGGGGGCATACAAATATATATAATTAACATTCAAAAGTATAAATTCATATTTAGGATAGATAAAAATTGGGGTTCATTCATATAGCTTTGCCTTATTCTCTTAGATCTAGATGCTTCTTCTGATAGCTTTAGCAACCCAGTATGTTTAAAACATCGTTCAACTGCTTGGAAAGTTATTGCTCAGTTCTTTTAAAAAGTGATATGAGTGATATGTGGACCAGTCATCACTTTCTCAACAACCGGATTCCTTATATGGTATCGTCCTTGGGGACACCTTACCACGGGTTATCTGGGCAGCTCCATTTACCTTTGCCTTGGGAGTATTAATGCACAAGACTTGTGCTCACTTCTTTGCCTCAGGGCCTAAAGTTTCATGGAATGGAACTTTCTGAATTAAACATGAAGGTGGAGGTACGTAGTTAAACAACAACAACAAACCTTTTGTTAACATCCAAGACCAAATGCCATCAGTCAGACTGGCAGGTTTCGGTAGCATCTTCCTGCTTGGTAGCCTGGTTAAATAAAGAGTTGTAAGATTGTGTGCTTTCTTTGCTTTTGGGGGGCTACTTGGTGGTCTTGAAGAATCCGCTCTGACCCAGGATGTACGGTCCCTTCGTTTAGGGTCAGCCTGCAGCTAGCATTATGTTTCAGCTGTCTTGAAGTGAGATCTGTCAGCTGCTTCTGTTACAGTTAGAGTGTATGAATTCATTCTCTTTTTTTCTTTAAGTTTTAATTCCAGTATAGCTGACATATAGTGTGACATTTGTTTCAGGTGTACAATATAGTGATTCAGCTATTCTATACATTACTCAGTGCTCATCATGATAAATGTACTTGGAATCCCGTCACCTTTTTCACCCATCCCCCCACCCACCTCCCCTCTGGTAACCATTAGTTCGTTCTCTTTAGTTAAGAGTCTTGGTTTGTCTCTCTCTCTTTTTCCTTTGCTCGTTTGTTTCGCTTCTTGAATTCACATATGAGTGATATCATATAGTATTTGTCTTTCTCTGACTGGCTTATTTCACTTCACATTATACTCTCTAGCTCCATCCATGTTGCTGCAAATGGCAAGATTTCATTCTTTCTTATGGCTGAATGTGAATTCATTCTTCAGAATACGTCCAAACATCCTTTGGTACGTTTTAGCCTTGAAAAGAGTTTTTTCCAACCAAACATTCAGAGCCCGGACCCTCAAGGTCCCAGAGATCCCATCTATTTAGCCCTCAGTCATCTGGGGAAGCAGGAGGTCAAATATGCCAGAGTGAGTCCCGGCCATCTTCAGTCTTCTGCCTACTGACTGACCCATGTGGCTAGTTCTCTGCTTATTATCCCCATAACTCACTTTTTGAGAACCGATTGACAGACATCTGCCCTTTCTGTCATATAAGTAGCAACTCCGCCCATGCTGCTTGGAAAGTTCCTGGAATCTTCTCCGCTCCAACGTGGCAGTAGCTCCGTCATCAGACTGTGAGGATGCCCAAGATGAATTTGCATTTCAGTTAGTTTCAGATGGTGCTCACCTGTGCTTTCTCGTACTCAGACCTAGCTGGTGCTTTAAGGGCCAGGATGAGGTTGCTTTGTGTTTCTGTCAGGCCAGATAGAGATTTTCAGACTTCTTTGTCCAAGGTTGACCAGTTTAGAAGTTATCCATATGTGTGGTCTTATTTTGGTTCTTTCGTTCTTGTGCTAATGCCTCTTCCTTACCAGGATGAATTGCAGAGTCTGAGACTGCTCATTGATTGGGGTGTTACTCAGTGGCCCAGCCATGGGTGGGTTATGGGTACATCTGCAATTACTCTGGCTTCTGATTCTGAACTGGTGTTTGG